AAATAAAAAAGTCAGTGCCATCAGCGGGATTCGAACGCACGGCCTTCGGGTACATACGCCGCTGCTCTACAACTTGAGCTATCGTGACTTCGAGCCACTCGGGCACTAACTTCCCATCTCAACCCCACCTTTTTGAATTTTCCCCCTTTTTGCGTATCAAGCCGAAGATCGTCGGTTCGAATCCCGCTCGTGCCATTAACTTTTTTTCATCTCAACTAAAAACCTTAATTAATTGTAGCTTATTTCATGATTGCCTTGACAAAGCTGTTCTTGGCCTACTGTTGTCATAGTCACAGATCACCTCAAATTGTGATGAGTAAGTTATTTATTGTTTTCTCATAATTATTGTGTCCTTCTAATAATTATAAAGTTGTAATTGCCTGTAGAGCTCTGATGATATCAATATAGGTTGGCGTAAGTTATTAGATTATAAAATCTGCTTCTCCTGATGGCCGCATCACTGATCTTCAACTTATTGATTTATTATTTGTGTACATATTATTATTAGAGACAAATATGTACATTCCCAAGGGTGCTTCTTAGGTTACTTTCAAATTAACGCACAGTGGATTTTGTCTTCTCTCTAACAAGAGTTACACGCAGTTCAGATAACGATTCCTATTTTTCTATTCTTATCTAACGTCCGGCCAAAAATACATAAAGTTCTATGAAAACTCAGGACAAAAATTAAATAAACCAGATCCAATCACCCTAAATACATTTATCCTTCAGTCTAAATGGTAAACACTATACGTTGTCACTGTACATTGAAGGAAGGGCATAGAATACGAGAAACTACTTGACAATAATCTAATCCTTAAGATAATTTTCCAAAGATCAATTAAACAGTTCTAATTAAAAATCAAAATAATCCTTCGTGCATTTTAAACCACAATCCACAATTTACTTCACATTATTGTATTTGATCGAAAATTTAAATTTGTAGATGGGTCGTACTTGATAATACTGGTTTGACTATCAACACTGATTTAGTTCTGTCGCACCCGTTTCGGCCATGGTTCTTAGGGATGTAAGCAAGGTCAGGCACAGAAACCAACTACTGAAGGTAGACTTGGATTCGAACCCACGACCGGGGATTTTGAGCTGAGAATCTTTAACGCTAACCCCTCGGCTATAATGGTCCCCACTGTAATGTTTTTAAACAACCCAATTCCAGGTTTGTCACGTATTTTAACCAGTAAATTTTACAAAAATTTATCATTACAACAGCTTTATTACCCTATTATCCTATCACTGAAAATGAACGTCAATGAAAGCGGTTTTGACCGACTGAACTCCTTGGAAATTTACCCCGATGCGAGAGAGTATGTTCACTGTTAGTGTAATTATGTTAGACTGGTGATGAGTTTGACTGGTTGCGGCAGTCTTAGTTTTAAACTTAATAATAAATCCGAGCCGAAGATCTTGGGTTCGAATCCCGCTCGTGACACTGACTTTTTTAGCTCAACTAAAAACCTTAATTAATTGAAAGATATTAATTGGTCATGTGGACCACGAAAACTAGTGAATTTAATAAGTTAAAATGAAGTATATCTTCACTAACACTCTCCGTGGCCATTTCATTTGTCGCCGAGAATCAAATAGATTAGACGACATTTGAAAAATGGCAAAAAGGAGGGAAAATTCAAATGGTGGGGTTTAGATGGGAAGTTAGTGTCCGAGTGGATCGAGGTCACGATAGCTCAAGTGGTAGAGCAGCGGCGTATCTAGCCGAAGGTCGTGGGTTCGAATCCCGTGCGTGCCATTAACTTTTTTTCATCTCAACTAAAAACTTAATTAATTGTAATGTATTAAGTGGTCAAGCGGACCACGAAATTAGTGAATTTCATGAAATAAGCTTTGATGGTGTGGATGTTGTTGACAGGGAGAAAATGTTAGGCATAAGATTAATAGAAGAAATTATAAATATTAAATCAGTAAATAATTCACTAACTTTAAGAAGTAGTATTAATAATCTTAGCGCCATCTACAGTAGCGTAAGTGCCTTCTGGCAGTGATGTGTCATTTCTGTCTGTAGCAATAATTGGGTACCTTCTATTTGGTTAATTTTATAAAATAGATACAGTCGCGTTTTTGACGTTTCAACGAGCTTTAAGGAGAACGTTTAAATAGAAGTTTGTTATTATCTATATAAATAACTTTTAAGATATATCTTTCAGTTAATTAAGGTTTTTAGTTGAGATAAAAAAGTCAGTGTCACGAGAGGGATTCGAACCCACAACTTGATACGCAAAAAGGAGGGAAAATTCAAGAAGGTGGGGTTGAGATGGGAAGTTAGTGCCCGAGTGGATCGAAGTCACGATAGCTCAAGTGGTAGAGCAGCGGCGTATCTAGCCGAAGGTCGTGCGTTCGAATCTCGCTCGTGCCATTGACTTTTTTATCTCAACTAAAAACCTTAATTAATTGAAAGATATTAATTGATCAAGCGGACCACGAAAACCAGTGAATTTACCAATAGCTTTCATTTCCAAATTTCATTCTGTTTTACGATATTCAAATATTTTAATGATATTTACATTTGAATTTGATATAAAAAAGCGAATTGATCGCTACCTTGACACCTAAACTCTGAAACCTGTCGAGTAAAGTTTAGTTAGATTGATTGCCACCCAAACAACTCCGCCAAATTCTACTATATCGACTAAGAACAGGCCTGCGAACGTGGAAGTCTCATCTTAAATATTTCACAAAAGCGACTGATTTAACTGTTGACGAGTTGAGTTTTCTGTGATTATTAGTTATCTGAAATTGAGGAAAAAATATGTGTAATTTTAAAATAAATGAAATACGTTTTACAACAGTGTCTTGTAGAATTCCAGGGCTTATTTAAACAATTAAAATGAAAAGACAGTGAGAAGAAAACTTTAAAAAAATCGTACTTTGCTTATTTATTTATAATAAAATGTGGATATTTGAAAAAGATGGATATGTGGGTTATGTTATATGATCCTGAGGATCGAATTCCGATCCTGCGATTTGTGTGGCTTGACGAAATATGTCGCTTTTGTTGTCACGCCGTTCGAGAGCGTTTTTGCGGTTTGCCAAAGCGTGGTATTTTTCTTCCAGAAGACCATGCGCCCTATTAAGAGCTGAATCGAGTTGAGAATTTATCGACAAGCCATCACGGATCAACAGAATGTGAATCAGGGCTTCTCAATTCCACAAAACACACGAAATATTTGTTGCCTAGGCGGGATAAAGTTTTCTAGATAAAACCGGCATACTTTCGGACTTTGGATCGTGGAAATCTATATCGTATTAATTACAAGCGAATCATTTGATTAAACAGAAATATATTGTTTTTCTTTTTAAACTTTACAAACGGCCTGATCTAATTTTGCATTCTTGGCTCATGTCTCATTTCGTAAATTTTGAAACCAGCTATAGTCACGTCGGGTTAAAATTGCATCTACTTGACTTCACATATTTTAAACATTACAAAATATCTTGAAATTCATCTAACATCGCAACCTACAAGGAAAGAGCATCAATGGGATAATCAATTTTAATGATTTTTTAAAGATTCTAGGTCGAAACCTATTAACGCGGGTTTGAATGGTCTTGGCAATGGGTCTTAAAAGACGAGAAATTTAGAAATAGAGAAAAAGATGAAAAAATATGCAAGATAGTATCAAATGAGATTAAATACCTATATAAAAAGTTAGAAAAAAGAACGATTTTAGTGATATTTTTTAGTAATTAGGATTCATATTAAAATCCCCTTACAGCTTAAACACATAAACTTTTCAATTTTTTTGGCATTCAAAAATTAACTGTTTTTGGGGTGATTCCGCCGGGGTCAATTTTTTTCTCGACAATGTATAAAAACAATTGCAGGATTGTATAAATTGAGATTAAATACTTATATAAAAAGTTAGAAAAAAAGAACGATTTTAATGATATTTTTTAGTAATTAGGATTCATATTAAAATCCACTTAAAGCTTAAAAACATAAAATTTTCAATTTTTTGGCATTTAAAAATTAAATATTTTTGGGATGGTTCCGCCGGGGTCAATTTTTTTCTCGACAATGTCCAAAAAAATTACGGGATTGTATAAAATGAGATTAAATACCTTTATAAAAAGTTTGAAAAAAAGAACGATTTTAGTGATATTTAGTTTTGAAAAAAGTAATAGGATTCATATTAAGATCCCCTTAAAGCTTAAATACAAAAAANTCCCCTTATAGCTTAAAAATATAAAATTTTCAATTTTTTGGCGTTCAAAAATTAAATATTTTGGGATGGTTCCGCCGGTGTCAATTTTTTTCTCAACAATGTCTACAAAAAAATTGCAGGATTGTATAAAATGAAATTAAATACCTATATAAAACGTTAGAAAAAAGAATGATTTCTGTTAAATTTAGTTTTGAAAAAAGTAATTAGGATTCATATTAAGATCTCCTTAATGCTTAAATAAAATTGCCCTCTCCAAATCAACCACAAGAATGCATGTTTTATCAATTAAGGGTGCAAAAATGGGTTTAAAATTTGTTAAAATACAAACATTTTTTGGTCTACTTTACTCAAAGTGTTTTTTTCTTTTTTTAAGATTGATTTTCTTCAATACATTGTTTACTCAACCTATAATTCCAGCGAATGTAAGATAATTTTTTAATAATAATTTTAAGATTAATAGATAATATTAAGCAAAACCTGGTCTTCTACAAACAGCAAGTTAATTTTGGCTAGGGGTCGCTTGGTGGTAACAGGTATTACATAACTTTCTCTCTAGCTGGGAGATTCGATTCTAGAGCTTATTTTATGCCACATTTGCCATAGGAAAATTTTGATAGGATCGACCATTTCTGAGCTATGCCCAATTGTTTTTGCAAGCAAAAAATGTTTTCAGTTGTTATGTCCGAGTTATAGTATTATCTTCCAGTAGGTTTTCTTAATTTTTAATTAAACGTAGCTTTTTGGTTTGGCCAGAAATGAACGTACTTTTCTTAAGGTAAAATCCATTTTTGTCCTACTTACATATATTCTTGATAACTCTCGGTCGTCGAGCCGTCGGGCCATTCTGCATAGCATATCACTCTCGTGTCACCGTTGGGGAAATCCTGGACGAGGGTTGTGTAGAATATTAGAATCGGCACTGCAAACGCGGATCCCAGGACCCAGATGCTACCGGCTATGCACAGGGTCATCCTTCTTCCCATCCTAGGTCTCAGAGGATGCATGATTGCCATGTACCTAGAACATTTAAACAAATTCATGGTTAACTCGTCTAGCAGAAAACTGATAAATCAATTCTAAAAAAATTATAACACCTGTTGTTTCTTAAGTAGCCAAAATACCCTCGTAAAAAATAAATAAATATTCTCTTATTATAACTTACTTATATTTAAAAAAGGAAAATACTTTCTTTAAAAAACATAAACAAGTAAAAAAAATCTTTATGGACCTTAAATCGTGCTGAAAACGACAAACACCAAATTTTTGTTTACTCTACCGGAAGCAGGGGTTACAAAAGTAATGGCTTAAACAAAGCCTTAAGTTTAAGACTGTCTTAAGTTTGAGAAGTTATACTTGATTTTCTCCTTATTTTTCTAACTTACAATGACTTATCATCTAGTAATTTTTTATATAAAGTAAGTGCAAAACATTCAGCTTTTTAACGGTTGTAATAGCGTTGATATTGAACAAAATCCAGAGTAGTCATACATTTTTAGGTGTAACACACCAAACATTAAATAAAAAATTGTCTTTCTCACGGACAATCATCTCAAATATTTATTGAGAAATCGTGAGATGCGGTCTGGTGTGAAAAAAAGAAGATGATGATCTCAATAAAGATCGAAACGTTGGCACTATAAAGAAAATGTTTTTCTGAAACCTACGTCACACCAGACCGCATGTCACAATTTCTGAATAATTATCGACTAATGGTGACTAATCACCTCGCGTTTCGACCTTTATTGAGATCATCTTCAGGGCCTGGGATTTACAAACATTGTTTAAATTTAACTAATACATGAAGGATGTGGAAAAAAGAAGAAGATGATCTCAATAAAGTTCGAAACGTTGGCACGATAAAGAAAATGTTTTTCTGAAACCTACGTCACACCAGACCGCATGTCACAATTTCTGAATAATTATCGACTAATGGTGACTAATCACTTCGCGTTTCGACTTTTATTGAGATCAATAATTTACTGATACATAATTACCTTAACCACATGAGCAACAAAAGAAAAGAAAAGAAATTATAAATATCTGAACATATTTTTCTGGTCTCGTTCGGCACATTAGCAGCGCCATCATAGAAGCTGATACACCCTGTATAAGTCGTGGGACTTTCCTGGGACTAGTCCACCTATTTAATTTCGAAACGATTAACTTTAGTAAAAAATGGTCTTATCCAAACCCCAAGTTAATTTTGGCCGGGAATCGTGCGGTGGTAACAGATTTCACATACCTTTCTCGTCTAGCTGGTAAATGACACACAGAGCTTTAATTATAAATCTATTAGATTTCGTGATCCGATTGAACAAATAAATTTTTTCAATTAATTAATCTTTATGTAAGGTATTGATTGAGATAAAAATTATAATTATTTCATATTGTTTATTCATATTTTTTAACAATGTTGTCTTTTTAACTTTTACATTATAAATTCGCTAGTTGTCGTGGTCCTCTTGACCAATTAATATATTACAATTAATTAAGGTTTTTTAGTTGAGATAAAAAAGTCAATGGCACGAGCGGGATTCGAACCCACGACCTTCGGCTAGAGACGCCGCTACTCTACCACTTGAGCTATCGTGACCGCGATCCACTCGGACACTAACTTCCCATCTCAACCCCACCTTTTGAATTTTCCCTCCTTTTAGCCATTTTTCAAACGTCCTGTATTCTATTTGATTCTCGGCGAAAAATGAAATGGCCACAGAGAGCTTTAGTGAAGTTATACTTCATTTAAACTTTTAAATTCAAGAGTTTTAGTGGACCTCTTGACCAATTAATATCATTCAAGTCAGTGTCACGAGCGGGTGTCCGAGTGGATCGAAGTCACGGTAGCTCATGTGGTAGAGTATCGGCGTATCTAGCCGTAGGTCGTGCGTTCGAATCCCGCTGATGACACTGATTTTTTAATCTCAACTAAAAACCTTAAATAATTGAACTTTTACATTATTTTATAGTTCCAAAAATTTTTTTGAATGTTTAATTTCACTATATTTAATAATCAATAAAACCTTTATTTCAATAATTGATTTTATATTTTAAATAACTAATTAGACCTAACTACAGGCAGAAAGCACATTAGTTTAGTTCAAAAATAATCTTAGTAAAACTTACTACTTAAAAAATGAAATTTATGCCCTTATTGACTCACTACTCATTGACCACCATTATCGTTCGAGCAAACAAACCGATTTAAATTACTGGGAGCAGAAATAATATATGCAAGAAATTTGTCACAACCCAAAAGGGGTGGTTTTTTACGGGTGGTAAAGGTAGATTTTTAAAGTTTGGTATTTTCCCTTAAATCTCGGACAAACGAAAGATAATGTTGATAAATTATAACAGTTTTTATTGTCAACAACCTTAATTGCGGTACTTAATAGGTAAGTAACAAAAATTAACCTCTTGTGATTGTGCGATATTTGTTGTTATTAATATAACGACAATATACAATTAATTAAGGTTTTTAGTTGAGATAAAAAAAGTCAATGGCACGAGCGGGATTCGAACCCACGATCTTCGGCTTGATACGCCGGTGCTCTAACCACTTGAGCTATCGTGACCTCGATCCACTCGGACACCAACTTCCCATCTCAACCGCACCTTTTGAATTTTCCCTCCTTTTTGCCATTTTTCCAATGTCGTATAATCGGATTGGATTCTCGGCGATAAATGAAATGGCCACGGAGAGCTTTAGTGAAGTATACTTCATTTAAATTCATTAAATTCACTAATTTCGTGGTCCGCTTGACCAATTAATATATTACAATTAATTAAGGTTTTTAGTTGAGATAAGAAAAGTCAATGGCACGAGCGGGATTCGAACCCACGATCTTCGGCATGATACGCCGCTGCTCTACCACTTGAGCTATCGTGACCTAGATTAAAAAGGAGGGAAAATTCAAAAGGTGCGGTTGAGATGGGAAGTTGTTGTCCGAGTGGATCGAGGGCACAATAGCTCAAGTGGTAGAGCAGCGGCGTATCTAGCCGAAGATCGTAGGTTCGAATCCCGCTCGTGCCATTGTTTTTTTTATCTCAACTAAAAACCTTAATTCAAGCGGACCACAAAATTAGTGAATTTAAGGAATTGGGATAAAAATAAAGTTTAAAATAAATAACAAAATACACCCGGTGTCCGTTTTTTACTGTCTTTGAGTGCATTTGGAAATGTGTACTCAATTACAACCCGCCATTTGCATGAAAAACACATGTGATTTTCTGTGAGAATATTTGTACGGAAATTTGAGTTTTACTTCTTAACAGCGAGATTTTAACAAGTTTTTGCTGAAAAGACAATTTAGAACTTTGTATGCGTTTTGGTAGATTTTTTTGTAAAAATTATAATAAAAGTACTAATAATTAACAAGTTTATTGTTATATGAAGCATTCGTTTCGTCTTGTTTCTGATCATATGATTGCGTCTAAGCGACCTCTGATTTTTGGCTGTACAGACAACTATTGTGGGGTTTTGAGAGTTTGTTCTTTCCTTTTCTCCCTTTCATTAAGAATGCCGATCGCTGAATGCAGCTATTTACATTCTCCAAGAAATTCAAACAAGACTCGATATATTTTATACAGCCACTAATCCTGGTTTGTAGTTAGGCGTATTGTACAAGGTGTTGAATGCGAGGCCAACGTCGACGTCGTACAAGCAGTGCTCTTGCAGTCTTTTAAGCCAAATCTTCTGAGAGGAAGCCGCCTCCCTCAAAACCGTCTCGTAGTCGTTTTTGATATCTACTGACGTCAGAGGTTTTCTTTTCCCGAGTTCGATTTTGACGCCGTGCCTGATGTCATGTGAGATGCGAGGATAACGGGTCAACGTGTTCTTCGACGTCACATCCAGGTTGAACTGTTCTTTCAGTACTTCGTTGTAGTACTGAACGTGCATGCTTAATTCTTCGGCTTTTCTCGAGGCAAAAGTGATATCTTTGAAAATGGATCGTTTCGCTTTCATATACTCCATCAACGCTGCTTCTTTCATTTGCACACATTCGGCTTTTCTCGATTTGCAATTCGTCTCCCACAATTCCCTATTTATCTCCATTACATTTTTCTCGGTGAGAAGCTTTTTTTCTTTTTTTACGACATCGGAATAATATTTTCTAGTTTGCGTGCCGACGATCACTGCTCGTTTGAATTCCCATAAATTGTTGAGATGGCAGTTGTACTTTGTCGTTAACTTGTTAAGCTCCTTCATCACGTTCTCTCGAGTTTTTCTCATCGCGTTCTCTTTCATTCTACATCTGTTCATTAAGCGCGTGATGGTCAAGATCTTACCGAGTTCTAACGACAATTTTGCGTCATACCAGCAAAATGTATCCATAAAACAATTTTTATTCCGTTCTATTGTATCTTTCAACAGAGAATCACCACTGCCCTTTATGTCCGCGATGATATCGTTGAAATTATCTTGTATCACCTTCAAGGACGAGTTATAATGCACTGCCAATTTTTTGCTTTTTGCATCCAAATAGTGACTTGTGAGTTTTAACCCTTTCGTATAGTAGCGAGCCGTTCTTACACGATTTTTAATTTCACATTTAACCATTTTTTGCAGATTCGAGAGATGAGTCTTATAAAGCCGGTCAACAGGTTTTAACATCGCGTCCTGTTTTTCTTCTAGTTTGTTTAACGAGTCTACCATAGCTTTATGGTAATTATATGACTTTCTCGTGGCGTCGACGCAATTTAGCTTAAACTCGTACAATTCTTTTCTAGGTAATTCAAAAGCTTTGAGCGTTTTATTCATGGCTTGTTCTTCCAGCTTCTTTTTCAATGCGCATCGAGCTCTAATCGCCTCGAATAAACGGTCCATTTTGTTTTCCCATTCTTTGTAAACAGAGTTTCGATGTGCTGCGTTTCTCTCGACTTGTTCTTCAACTTTTTTAATATTAATATCCATTCTGATCAGTTTCGCGATCAACAATGCCTTCCTGGATTCTTCTTTGGCTTGAATCGAGCTAGCATTCTCGACAAATTGGCCTTCTTGTGAGTCCGTTAACGGAACT